GAAAGAATTCCACCAAAAAACCCCATTTAGAATATTTTCATAAGCATAGAAAACATGAAGTATGATCAACTTTTTGAATGCAACTTACATTTGAATGCACACCAAACATTTCAATATGCTCATTGTCCCAAACCAGCTCACTATAGATCTGGAGCGTCTCGCGTCCGGCTTTAGTACTTAATTTTACGATCATAACAAAGTACACCATAATTGTGGACGTCAAGTTAAATGCTAGGTGGGTGACTTCTTTCTCTCCAAACTTCAATATATTTCCTCGTCTCTTTTTGATAGTGAAACTGTGGCTCCAAACTGTAACCAGATCCTCCCCTCTTGGTTCTTCATATTCTCGCCTTTCACAGTATGTCGCAATCTTGACACGATATAGGCATTTTTAAAGATTACAACAAGTATTTTGTGGAAGATCTTTTCCAATACAACTTAGCAACCTAAATTGCCAACAACACTAGAAGCCAACTGCTTTCTTTATGTTATCGGTGAAAAGGCAGCAGATGATTCCGTAAAAGATCTTTGTGATGGGTTCCAGATAATGATTATCTTGTGAGAGCTTTTTGTATCATCAATTATTAAAAATTGGTCTTATTTGCAGGTACTTTCATCATGCATTTCCCTGAGGTTTGTGCTAACCGTGTCCCACTATCTTTATCCACGGATATTTTCCCATGTGTGCCCCACTTCCGAACCAAAGATTCTTTATTTGGGAAATTATACTCAGTTCCTGCCGATGATCAGTTCTATAATGTTTATTTCAATCATTCTAACGTCACATGTGTGCCCATATTCTTCGAGAGACCTATTGTCCAGATTTGAGAAAAAAAACTACAAGCTCAGACAACTAAAAATAATAACATCTTTTCAAAATGCTACAACATACGCTATTGAGTGATCACATCACCTATTCATCGAGCTCTTCAATATTTACATTTATTATATTTGAGATGCAAGAACATCTTAAGGTTGTTTATGACATACAGCAACAGTGTGTATTCCTTTTCGGTGTACACCCAGAAAGTTTGGAAGATGTCTTCTTCCTGTTTTGTCTTCTCATCCTCAAGCTCATTTTAGCGCGATTCCAGATTTTATTTTACTCGGAGCATAATCTAGTTCAACGATTACCTTTCCTGGCAGAAAACCATTCCTCAGCGATTTTCCTTTAGTAGAATATGTTCATGCCAAATGAATTTCAGTAAAGTATTGTGTTCTGGATTAGCTGCTCTTATTTTCCATGATGTAAAATTTCACGTGCTGTTGAGATATTGCGGCATAACCTCATCCAATTGGTTGCATCCATATTATGTGAACAGTAGTAGGTATCTTGTAGAAGGTCGATGCTGCAAATTAGTTGTAGCGTTTCTATCTTAGAGCCACACGTGCTACTTTTCATTGATATGATTGGATACAAATCTTCTATATATAACGTAATTATAATATATTATTTCTTGAACAGCTCAAAGCGAATCACTAGTTTTGATACCCTTACAAGTTCCAAAGAAAGTATGATCAATGCATACATCTATATGGAAGTATTCTAGTCTCCCTACCACTAAGTCCTTGAGGTTATAAATTGAAAAAAAAAAAAAAAAGTAATTATCGGAAAAAAGTTGCACCTCTAACAGAGCAAAGAAATTATTTTGGTTCCTCTCTTTTTCACGTCTAGGCAGTGTTTTGATGAAAAGGAAATTTCTTTAACAAAAATTGTATAGGTCTTCTATTTGTATCATGTTGCATGCATGAAGTGAAATCAATCAGGTTCAACAGAAAATTTTTATAGTTACTAACCTCAAGTCTAAATGAAAACTAAAACTATATGACATCTTTATTTCCAGACAAGATTATACAACAAATATTGGCGCAAAAAAGTCATGAAATACAAATAAATCTGTGGACTTTGAATCTCCTCAGTCGAGAACCTGAAAACCTTGAGTACTTCAGGACAGAGTAAAAGAGAGCTTTCATCATTATACACTGTCGACATCCCATTTGACAGAACAAGGATATGTAGGGAATGGTTTTTGGAATAAAGTTGATCACCAAACTTGGAATCTCTTGCAAAAAAACGGTACTCTTGCAAGTCAGTGTCTGGTCCGTTGAGACGAGAACCATTAATACTTATGAGCATAGCACAGTGTATAGTAAATCTAGCCTGATATAGTTCAGATAACTAGAGAGAGCATGGTAAAAGATATCCAAAAAGGATGCTCCGGAACCAAACAGGAGATCCCCATTTTTTGAATTCAATGCTTTGAAAATATCTCGAGTTCACATCTGCGACATTCTCTGTTTTTAAGTTCGTTTCAAGCGTATCGAAGTGTGCTTACAACTCTCAGAAGATGATGGCATATCATGTGTTCCGAAATAGTCTACGACTGTGGACCTCCAAATGCTGATTTTTAATCATGAATGTAAATACCAGATGGGCCAGACTGGCCTCCATGGCCAGTCTCGGTAGATAAATGAGCTACAAATCATTGAGGATGTGCCTGAACCTCATGTAATGATCGAGAAGTTTGGGTCTGGACATGTGTCTATTTTGGTAATTTGGCTGCCTATAAGAGCATTGAAAAAAATTTGGCTATTCATAATTCAGAAGATTTCACTGTCTCTGGTTACTGCGTGCGTGGACGAGACTGCCACTTATCGCTGTTACTGCACGTGCATCGATGCCGTTACGTGTTGCACTTCGAAAATCCGGCATCTACGCACTGCAATGTGAATAACGATCGCCAGCTCATTGCTATCCACGACTGAATCATAAGGTCGTCGAGTACAGAAGTATGAGCCGGGAGCCATTTCTGCATGTCATGTCCTTGGACCAACGTTTCGAATTCATTACCAATCTATGCATGTGAAAGACAGCTGTCATAGGGACCTTTTGCCCTTCTTTGCTCAAATGTAAATTAAAAGCTTAAGGAAAAGGATTGAAAGATCTCACTCGAATCGTGATCCGCCTCTTCTTCTTACCAATCATAAATTCCCGTTTAGAGAGCCATTGATTTGAAGTCAGATTCTGATCACCTTTGTCCATAATCATATGAAATTACAAAGTTCTAAGTATTTCCCACCACTAGATCATGAGATGACAACATTTATACTCGTTAATAGACATGGTAGCTTCAGCTGAGCAGAGATTCAGTTTGGCTACTGATTGTATCCGGGGTTTTGCAATAGGTCCTGTCTGTCTTTCTGGTGAAATGCAACGTAATATGATATATATAAATACAATAGAACTATGATATATGTACGTGTATGAATTTGATGAAATAAAGGTACAGCCAACGTGAAGAATTGACTTAATCTTGGGTTTAGTAGCCGTGATCATAACGATGCCTGTTGAGTTGAGAAACAGAGATTTTGATTTTTCGATGATGATCGCTCAGAGGGTATTCTGCAGGCCTGGAACTTCAGGTTCTTGACAGATCGACGAGCTTGAAACACGGTTCTGTTCTAATGATGCATGCTTTGAAAACCAAAACGTCTCGCTCACAGCTGAACAACGTAGCGCCCTCGGGGGATCCAAGGGCCAACGTTATGGATGAGGTGATCATGTTGATTCCTGCTCCGACATACCTCCAGAAGCACATGCTCTGGCGTGCCAGGCACACGTGATGGTGGAAAGTAGCAACTGGAGAAAATGGACGAGACTTGTCCCACTCTAGACGCTGTCTCCAGTGTTGGATTTTCTCATAATTTCCGAAACTCACACTGATTTATAACGTGGGGCTGGATCGGAGTGGGTTCGAACCCTCTACAATATGAAACTGTCAGTCGTCCAAACACCCATCGTCACCGTACCAAGCTTCTGTAATTTCAGCAAAAATCCTTGAAATCCTTTTTTTGTGTGTTCTGCCAACATACTTTCCTCTAAGCTGAAGTCCTTGTTAGTGGTATTTGACTTACAGACCAAAAATACTGGAAAAAAGATTGTATCTCTGATACAGGCAGCTCCAAACTGGCACAGCCTCCTTGCCTCACATCTTTGGCTCTCGAAATCAAATCGAGGTCCTTCTCAAATGAATAAAATTGAAAGCCATGTCTGCAGATGTGGTGAAGCTGGAAATCTCTTTCAAACCTTCAGTTCATGAGATATGAGCACTGCAATTTCATCTCCTGGAATGGATCTTTTCCTTTCAGTATAGATGGTAGAGGTATAATGTACTCCTCGTGAGAGGTGTTGATAGAGCTCTATACTGTCAGGTCGACGAAAGATTTCTACCATCAAAACTCCGTTTGGTACAAATAGAGATGATAGGAATTTTTTCTGGAGTATTATTTCTCACTGAGATTTTTGTCGGAAATCAACCATCTCGGTTACATGCATGTAACGTTAAGACGAACGTTGAGCTTTCCGTCGGAAAGCATGGTATCAGAATGTAAGTTCTTGTCAACACACCGGAAGCCTTCAAAATGTATCAACATAAACACAAGACTCTTGTTTCAAGTCCGAAATTTCATAGTTGAAGTCACGAGATTAAGTAAAGTAAATGCGAAACTGGCGCGGTTATTGAAAGCGATACTATGACAAAACTTGGATTGAGGTTTTGACTTTGTTCTTGCTCTGGGAAGTATGAACACCACGCGGATGTGCTGAATTCAAATTCAAATTATCAAACTTTAAAAGACAGAGAGACGAGGTTGTAGCCCGTTCGAGTCTCAAGCGATTCAAAAAGCATCTGGATGTATGTAACGTTGAAATGGTTTGAAATTGAATTCTAAACTAACGTTCTTGACCACTTCGAGTCTCGAGCGATTCAAAAAGCATCTGGATGTATTTAACCTTGGAATGATTTAAAATTGGCTTCTAAACTAAGGTTCTCGACCAGTTAAAGAGGAGAAGCGCAGGAAGCGCTGCAATCTTCATCATCCAAGGTTACATGCATACACACTAGAACGTTAGTTTAGAACCCGATTTCAAATCATTCCAATGCTTGAATTCTTATCTGCAGTTAAAGTTTGCATATACAACCTCGTCTCTCTGTTTTTTGAAGTTTGAAGTTTGAAATTTGAATCTGAATTCATCATCGCGCATGGTGTTCATCCTTTCCGATAGCAAGAACAAAGTTGAAAACGTTAGCCTTCATCATCATTGATATTGGAAGCAGGCTGAGCGATCCAGGACGCTCCTTCTGTGTCAAAGTTCAATAATTCTGTCCTGTGAGGTATTCGGACACCATCTCGAATTCCTGTCACGATGTCGGAAGGTTCGGACTCTGAAGTGGTGGAGGGTGGAGAATCTGAATTCAGTAGAACTCATCTGTCGGAGGATTCTTTGTACAGCGTTGAAAGCAGGCATGGATCTGCTTCAAGGTGTAACCAACTTCAGTTTGGTTTCTTTTATGAATCAGTACGATTAAATTTGCCAAAACTGATTAGAGTTTTATATGGTGGTTGATTATGTGACGAGTGAATGAGTGTTTTCAGAGAAGACTAGTTTATTTGGTGGCCGATATATCGTTTTAGTTCTTTGAATGTTCTTTACTAATGATGCTCTGTATTTCCATCTTTATGTTGCATGTCTCTAGCTTGAGGGTAGTGCTCCCAGCAAAATCAGAGTTATGTAGGTATTACGGTATACCTGGTGGATGCGTTCGTGGAGATGTATGCTTCTTTGCTCATGGTGATGAAGAAATTCGGAAAAGATCAAGAAACTTATCACCAGAGATGCTTTACAGTCCCTCACCTCTGATGCGGCTCATGAAATTGAATGTAAGAATTCTTCTTTATTTGAACACCATATTTTGAAAAGCCAAGTGGGATCACTCTTTTTCTAATAAGATTTTGAACTTACTAGTAAAATTTGACTTCCTGCATCTTACAGCAAATGTCGCCAGAGGATTTAAAGAAGAAAGTCTTTGTAGGTGGGCTCCCACTATCTGTTGACTCAGGTGAGTTAGTTAAAAGGTCTATGATGTACTATAAGATAAATGCATAAGCAAAGGCTTTTCATAGTAAGCTTTTGAACAGTAATTCTTTCCAGAACAGAATGTAAATGCCAATGATATTCATGAAGTTTACAAGTTAGTTACAAGTTGCAAGAGTGCTCGTCACATGTTGTAAATAAATTGGTGATTTTGAGGTGAGTGGTACACCATCTTACTGGTACTTTTAGAAGATCTTAGAAAGTGATGATCTTGGAAGCTTGTCTGGATTAGACTTCGCTGAAGATTATATTACTGTCGACCTTGATTGCGGGTCATGGTGGCATTGTCTAATTTTGATTCAGAATGATTCATATAAAATTACGCTTCACTTTGTACTATGCAATATACAGAAATTACTACTTTCATGGTGGCCTTGAATTGAGTGTCAATGAAATATCTGGATTATAACATGGTTAATTAGTTCCTTTTCATGTGCAGATGACTTGAGAGTGTTTTTCGAAGAAAATTTTGGTCCTGTCAGTGATGCAGTTGTGATTGGCAGTCATTCTGGTGACCAAGTTCAGTCTCGTGGTTTCGGATTTGTAAAATTCAAGCATGAGGCATCAGTTTTACTTGCCATACAAACTCATTACATCCAACTATCTGGAAAGAAGGTAAGTAAAGACACGTGATATTGGAATATTCTTTTTTCCTCTGCTTCTGCTTGGTCCGATTCTGTCATGTCATTAAGCAATTAAGGAGGAGTAAGTAAGTACCACATTCCTGATCCTTTATTTGAATCTAACAATTCTCGACATACAATCCTTCAAACTAAAGGAATTCTTACTAATAGAGTATATTGCTTAAGTTACAATATGTATGTATATTTGTATGTGACAAGTTATGAATTGCATTCAAGATAGAACAGCTTGACAACCTTCTTGATAATTATGTGGTAAATCTATATTTTTTCTCATATAAGTGAATTATCCTGATTAACCAAGAGCAAATATCCTGTTTAAAAATAAAAAAATCCATCAGTATTGCTCTGGTGACGTTCGCGAACAGGTTCTATTTGGGCTTAAATATAGTTACCAGGGCATTGGAGCACAAGATCCGTCAAGCAAATACTCTGTCAAGGTCCAAGTCAAAATACTCTGTTTGCCTCTTGCACTTCTTAGCAAAGACTTTATCAAAATAAAAGGCTTCTTGATATTAGTTAATAACTAGTATTAAATCACACGTGTAGGACATGATGGGAAGTACATTTAAGATATATCACTTTGAAAACCTTCTTGAAATTGATCTTTTAATCTATAATCAATTTTTCAATTAACAAGAGTAAGTCAAGCATCAAATCATGATCCTCTGTTTGGCCCCTATAATCCTCAACATGCCCAAAATTAAATTAATGGAATTATGAATATTAGTTCACACCCGGTGAAATTACATATTTTTTGACATGTCATGAACTATACTCAAGATAGAACACTTTGACAGCCTTCTTGACAATCTTTAGATGCTTTTTATGAAGACAAAATATGCTTGTTGGTTTCTTTCTTTGACATTGTGGAGGTTCACACATGTTCTTGCCGTACCTAAGACTCTGAATCTAAAACAGGAAAGGGGAAATTTAGATAAGGAATAAAAATATGACTCTCAACCCTTTGCTACTTGGAAGATGGATGAAACTAAAACCGGAACAAAGGGTTATTAAATTCGAATAGATTTCATAACATATCCAAATTATCTTTATTATATATATATTACAGGGGATCAAAAAATAAACATGTTAGACTTTATTTCATTATATATAATCATAATATTTATAACATATGTAAGATTCTATAATTTTAAGTCTTTGGACACTCTCTTGACAACTATCACATAGACTTTGCGAATGGATTGGTGAATTTCTTACAAGGACAAAGGACCAACCATACCAACTTGATATTTCTTTTTGAAGTGCATGAGTCCATTCTTTCCACATAAAATTACATTTAGAGCTATAAGAAAAGTAGATTGCACCGACATAGTTTTTAGAGGAGCGAAACAAAATGGTGGATTGCTGTACTCATACAAGCAATAACTCACTAAATATTTGCTCCAAAGCAGTGATCTCAGAATTTCCACTTTGCATGAAATATTGATATATGTTGTTCACGCCATTTCGCGCAAAGTTGACTGCGCCAATTGAAAAACTTATAGTTAGGGAAATTTTGCTCCAATTTTAGAATCTAGAATTAATTTGAAATTGGTCTAACATCAATTTTCTAGATAGGTTAGTAAAGTGTATGATAATTTGGTAGTGGTAGAAACTGATAATCCCCAATTCGAAGATTTGACATTTATTGTAAGTGTTAAGGAATGCATAATGAGGAAAAAAAAAAAAAAAGAAGAATATCCAAAGAAACCTGTTAAATGATTGCGTGATTATAGCGCGAATAAAGTAAGAAAAAAATTTTCAATTTCGGCTCAATTCATGTTCGTGAAGGGTTCTCGCGAAGAATTAATGTGAAGCGTTGAGAGTTGAATGCGATTGTGCAATAATCGGAAGAAAGAGATATATTTTTACTAAAGCTTAATATTTTTCCTAAAGCTTAATAGTTTGGAGAAGTTTTTTTTTTTACTTCTTAAAACGTTGACTAAATAAGGAATTTGCAATTTACTACGCATGGTTGACTACGCCAACCTCATGACTAGGCTTGGCCACGGTCCGGGAAAAAAATTTCCTCTGGCAGCAGAATTAGACCAGCGAGGTACCCAATTCGTGATCCAGTGTGAAAAAATTGGCGAGAAAATTTTTTCACAAATTGGTACAACTCAGGTCGAGTCGCTGAACTCTGAAAATCCAGCCGTGGGCCTCGACTCAAATGAGCTCATTTGAGTCGCGGCCCACCTCTTTCCCTCCGCCATCGAGAATTTTTGGGTTTTAGGGCCGTCCCCATCGGCCACGTAGGTGTCCGGACCTATTGTTACTCGGTTAACCATCGGACCTGTTAAAATATCGGTTAACATACTGGTTAACCGGTTCACAAATTTTCCGGACCCGTTAACCGGACAGTGGCCAAGCCTACTCATGACCAGTTCTGTACCCTGTCTCTAACTCGCAACAACAGCCTCGGAGTTCTGTTCTCTTTCATTTACCATAATTGGCCTGCAGTAATACCAAGTAGTTCAGTTAGAATATCAGAAGATACCTCTATTTGCCTCTCACAATTCTCAGCATACACCCTTCTTGGCATCTATATGTTATATGCCAACGAGCTAGTATTATTAACAAGACTATATTACCCTCATAAGTGAGTATCTGGTGTGAGTCGACTATGTCAGCTGTGGTTGATGGTTATTAAGACTGCAAATCTAAGAATGCACAGGTTACACCTTTAAATCATATCAAAATAGGCCCGCTTTGACAATCTTGTAACATGAAAATGAGCTGCAGTGAACTAAAGAGTTGTTATACATTTGAACATTTGACTGTTTCCATTATGTGCAACTGGTGTTGGACGGTGGACTAGCGTTTAGTAATACTCTGAGCACAAACTGTCATCTAACTTTTATTTTTTGCTCCATTCAGGTGGAGATCAAGGGTGCCGTTCCACGCACAGGATTATCCCATCTTGAGACTTCTGAAAGAAGTTTCCCGATGCCAAGATCCGGACTGTCACCTGAGGCTTCTCTTGGGGGCACTTCGAGCTCAAGTTTGCTGACACCAAAGCTGCCGTTTACAAATCTCGATTGCACTGCAGAAAGTGAAGAGCAAGCTCAGTGGACGAAGACAGGAAACCAAGGTGCCGATGATCAGTCATCGAAAAATAAGAAAGCCGTATCAGAAGGTGGCTCATCTACCGCACCCACATGCAACGCCGGCGCACAATGGGTGTTGCGGTTCAAGCAATGGCTTCCGAATTTCTTGATTGAGGTCTACAACCGCTTAAAGGAAGGAGAGTGGTACCCATTATCTTCGTTAAAGGGAGATTTCAGAGCCACTTGTGGTTTAGAGTTAGACCACACGAGCATTGGCTATCATAAACTCCATGATTTTATCAAATCCCATCCAGAATTGTGCAAAATCAAGATTGTACCTGTAGGATTAGGCCCGGCCACTCACATGGTGCTTCTTCCTGCCTCAACGTGGACGAAATCGACTGGGCGCCATCAGATGGAAGGCAGATCATTGATGGAAGATGGGCGGTCATATGCAGCTACAATTTCCCGCGGGAATGCAAAAATCGTGACAGAGAATGTTCAATCTCCCGTGGATACTTCCATGAAGACAACTATGGCTCCTCTCCGAAGAGCCATGAATGCATATGACAGATATGCAGTCTCTTCTCAAAATGTCAATTTTGCAGACTCTTTTCAGCAACTTGCTGAAAACAAGAGGATTGGGATCTCAGAGAATAATGCCTTGAAAGCATCAAATTCCTTGGGTCAAAATGGAACTATTGGACAAACATCAGTGTTTCCAAGCCAGAACGGAATGCGAGGGGGATTAGAGGACTTGCGATCTGTAGGATCCTCTAGGAGCAGCAACGGAACGCCAAGTGGTAATACTGAGAATTTTTACTCCCTCTTCTCAGAGAACAACAACGCATGTATACACAATGGAAGCGCGTCCAGGGGCACCTTTACACAAAGTTCAAATCCTCATGTCATAGGTAACTTCATGGAGGAGCCAAGAACACCCGTGCTTCAAGGGAACTTGAAATCGTTTTCAACCTACGAGAATCAGCCGATACATCAACCAAATTTCAGTGGGTCTTCATACAATATGTGGGATGTTAAGTTTCCTGGTATCATGATGATGAGTGGTGATAACGAGACAGAAGTTTGGAGATCACCACATTGAAGGTAAATAGTGAGATTTTAGTTTGGTAGATAATGCCTTTGAATGTGTTATTTTGAACATGCTTAAGATTTGGTCTATATTTCAGGTTAGCAATCAAATAAAGTGACATTTGCTTTCATGTTTGATGTAGGAATCTACAATAAACATAAAATCTCCTCTTGGAGGAGATAGTATTGAAGGTACACAGCAAGTGACAAATTCTTTTAAGAATTTGAACTAAGAATTACTTTTTCAAATTCTAAGGGAATTCTAAGAATATCCTTAGAATTTACTTAGAATCCTGTGACCACCATTCCCGTCATGTATGGAGGACGTCAAAGGTTACGATCGCAGATCCCTGTCCTGCAGCTGAGACTTATGTACACTGCAGCAGCAAGCACGTTTGGTTCACAGAATCTGACACTATCCGATTTCCCAGGACTCTAAGGGCTTGATCGGAGTGGGTTCGAATCCTCTACAATATGGAACTGTCAGTCGTCCAAACACCCATCGTCACCGTACCAAGCTTCTGTAATTTCAGCAAAAATCCTTGAAATCCTTTTTTGTGTGTTCTGCCAACATACTTTCCTCTAAACTGAAGTCCTTGTTAGTGGTATTTGACTTACAGACCAAAAATACTGGAAAAAAGATTGTATCTCTGATACAGGCAGCTCCAAACTGGCACAGCCTCCTTGCCTCACATCTTTGGCTCTCGAAATCAAATCGAGGTCCTTCTCAAAAGAATAAAATTGAAAGCCATGTCTGCAGATGTGGTGAAGCTGGAAGCCTCTTTCAAACCTTCAGTTCATGAGATCTGAGGACTGCAATTTCATCTCTAGGACATGGATCTTTTCCTTTCAGTATAAATGGTATAATGTACTCCTCGTGAGAGCTGTTGATAGAGCTCTATACTGTCAGGTCGACGAAAGGTTTCTACCATCAAAACTCCGTTTGGTACAAATAGAGATGATAGGCATTTTCTCTGGAGTCTTTACTCCACCACTGATTTGCCGAAGAGAAAACCAGTCAAGTTAGCCGTGGTATCAGAAATTCTACTATGAAACCAAACATTACTGGAAAGAGCTCCGCCTATTCCCTGCACTCCCGTCAGCGGAAATTTGTGAAAGTCTATATCATACGCCCCTGGAGAATATTTGAGCAAGAAGGAATTCTCGATTGTCCCAAGCTTTCGAAAAAACAGTTTAATTATTGACATACATCTTTCAAATTATTTTTTGACTCCTAGATTATCTCGATGATTTCTTCCCAGCAATTTTGCTGTACTACATGTTACTTCGTGAAAATCTTTTTTAAGGTACTGGATATGAGTTTGCTGTGGGCTGGGCCAATCACCAAGGATATGCACTGAGAAAAGGAGGGAATGTAGAAGACAACCTCCTGGTGAAAGAACCATTCTAATTTTCATAATATACCTACATGACAATTTACAGTCCATAATACTGGGAACAGAAGCCTGCGAGGTGAAAACTACACGATCGTCACGCCAATGATCACGATTGAAGTCTCCTTCAGATTAATTTTTGCAGTGACTTACTTTCATTTGTTTTTAACATGTGTGATAGTTAATGAGTGATGGTTACTAAGTGGCAAAACCAGATCAGTTCTGGAGTGAGCGCCACATGCAGAGCTTGTTATGTTAAGCTTGGCTTGGAAATTGATATTGAATTGAATTTTTCTTACATGTTCGAATGTGGAACCGTCATGCACAGCCTGCACTTCGTCTAATTACAATGGAATACTGTTAATTTGATGAGTGCATCCCAATAGTCCATCTGATCGTTCATGAAGGAAGAAGTCTCACCTTTGCGTCTAAAGATATTTCACTCGCACTCGACATTAGCAAATTTCAAACACCCTGTCTATCGACAGAGAGTGGATTGACAAATCTGCTAGTCTTTGAAGTGCATTAGACGAGGCTGTTAGAAATCTGGGGTTGGGTGTCCACCTCCAGAACAGAGCAGTATATAAAGGATTTTTCGTTTCTTTAATTGGGATAATTGCCGCAGCAAAATGCACGACCCGAGGCTTGTATTGATGGGATTGCCCACAGCAGATCTGAAATATTCTTCCGACTGTGCGGTTCCGACGAGCGTCAATGCCTCTTCACTTACACTGGGCTCTTTGCCTTCTGCGGAGAAGAAGGGTCTTTTGCATCGAGAAAAGCAGAATTGGGCTTGAATGTGTACTTTAAAGTGCTCCCCCAATATCGGACATTGTACAGCCTATTTGTTGGGGTCTTTCATTATGATCGCGATTGCTGCGAGTCAAACTAATTTTGTTTGAACATTTTGGAAATTTCGATTGATTCAGAGACGGTGTTTCTTTAACCAGGAAAGTTGTACATATTTTTTTTTGCTCTCTCCCGTGGGGTGGCCCAAGGACCATAAGACCAGATCCAAATATCAGAGGGTCAGGAAATCAGAAAGCCTTTTATGTACTACGGATCAACAAAATTCAGTATTATAGTTTTCTCAAATCAGAAATGGGTGGGTATTAAAATAAAATTGTCGATTTAATGCATAATATATTAAATTTCCTATCAAATCAAGATTTTGCGCGACAAGTTTTAGGTGAGCGAGATACGAATTTTTTCGTCTGCCACAGCGTTATGGAGAGTATTGTTCTATTTCTTACTCAGAGAAATGGAGAATGGCTACTCTGCGTTGTTCTGTGTAATGAAGATCACATAGAACAACACGGGTAATTTTTACATACTGAGATTACCATTATTGCATTGAAGTTGGACAACATTCAACTAACCATATGGACTCAGACCAGATCTGCCAAAGTATTTATTGAACCTGTGATTGAGCTATACACTGTGATGAGATCAAATGTGCAAAATTCTATCCGATGCTTCAATTCCCCAAAATGCACGACAAGAGATGAGAACGAAAGATAAAGCATATATTCTGGAAAAAGCATATGCATTCGTTGGAGGATTTTTATCTCTCCTCGTTCTGCTACATTACTACCTTTTTCCCTCTCGAAGTGCAAACTGGAGGCAGAGTCTACGACAGAGCTCGAATCTACAGGCAATAACCTGCAAAGCGGCTGAATCCTCACTCAGCTGCTTTGCAAGTCGTCCACAATACCGACGAGACCGATGCGCAATGCCCAGTGGCAGATCTCTGTTCTGTAGCTAAGAGCGTCGTTAGTCCACTCGCCCTGCCGTCCTGGCGAGAGCTCATTACTCCATGATCGCATCTTATTTCACAAAAGCAAGCCTCAGCATCTTATTATCGAATGATTGTCCTCACTTTAACCAACTGTGACCTCAATGGTCTTTGGTTTGTGAGGCTCCGGTGGTGGGATCTTGGGAACGGTGATCGTAAGAACTCCGTCGGTGCAAGCCGCTTGGATCTCATCCAGCTTCGCATTACTGGGGAGAGTGAACTTCCTTAAGAACTTTCCAGCAGGTCTTTCCATCCGGAGGAACTTGGCCTCATCCTTCGATTCATCGCGCTTTCGCTCTCCACCAATTGTCAACACATTGTCATTCTCCACTTGCACCTGCATTGGGGATCAGTAATTCATTGTCAGTGACAACAAAGGTGCCTCGTCTGCCTAAAACTTTGTTTGCCGCGGAAATAAAAGTTGCCGCGGCACACTTCACATTTTCTCATCCAAGCATCTGCATTATAAGCTACAATACATTCTGTGTCTACACGCACTCTATACATATAATTGTAGTGATTCAGAAATTCGCTTCTCGTCGCAACGGCAGATGAACTGTTCTGAGAATTCACAAGAAAGCAGACACAGTTCATACCTTGATGTCGCCGGACTTCAGCCCGGGCATGTCGGCTACGAAGACGTAAGCGTTTGGAGTCTCCTTCACGTCCACACAGGTGTTGAACATGGCCTTGGTGTCCCGGACGTACGTTCTCGTTGACGGATTGAGAGATTTCTCATACTCCTCGGGGCTGTTCAGCAATTGCGTGAGAGCGCTGGTCAGAGGATCGCGTCCGAAGAAAATGTCCATTGCCGAGGAAAGTTCGACCTGCCATCGACACAAAGACTTCAGATCAAATGCAGAAAGAACCAAAACAATGCAGCCCTGACGACGAAATCGCAGCAGAGATCTAGTTCGGACGATGGAAATCGGGATTCATTCTCTCTCTCTCCTTCTCTTTCTCTCTCTCTGCTGTAGACCAACTCTCAAAGTAGGGGAGCTCTACCGAAGGAGGTTGTGCGCGCTACGACTTCCACGAGAGGGATCGAGATATTATCGATTTCAGCTGATCGAGGAAAGTTAAGAACTGGTGCTTCTGCTGCTGCGTTGTGAATTTAGCGATCAAGTTGCGGCCTCTTATACTGGCCGCCGAGGGGAATTCCGAACAGCAGCGGAGGACATTCTCGAGATTCCAGAACGAACTGGGCTCGGTCCTAGCACGCTGTAGAATGTGACAAGTCGGATCACATGCCAAGCGGAAGCGGGAAGCGGGAAGCGGAGTCTCGAACTTTTCCGTCAGGAAAAGTTCTAGAGACTACGAGCCCGAGCATAACGGATACCAAGTTCGCGAAACGCCCCGAGTTTCATGAACTTTCTTGATGACCCTCGTGCCGTCCACTCTCGTTGAACAGAATCTCCCTTCCTGTGTGTACAATGTACGTATTACAGGTCCTGCGGGGCAATTATACTCGGAAGGTACGCTACATTATATTACGTGCTAAAATCTTATTGGTGTTCGAGTGGCTTCCCTCCTCCGTCGATATTCCTGGAACAAAATGGCGACGTATATAGAAGGGAAGTCAACAGCCAGCCCGACATCGTCGGGGATTTCCGTCAAATTCCCGCAAGGCTAAAATTTCCCAACAGTCCATCCGGACTTACAAGCAAGAAGTTTCGTCCAGGCGCCGTAAATTTATTCTTACGATCTTAAGAGTGGGCTCCAACGCATTGAGTACCCAGAGGAAGAAAAGGTTGAATACATAAAGAATTTATGGACCAAGATTGATATTTTCCTGTTGTGTGCGCAGCATCGTGTAAAATGGCGTATTAAGAAGCTAAATAAATCAAATGGCCATTTCGAGTATCATTGCATTTCCTCCAACGTTGCAAAGATGGGCTCACGAGTCCGACACAAGTGTATTTAGTGGAATCTTATGAATTTTTCCAGTTACTGAGCTTTGTGTTATAAGGCAGCTTAGTAAGTTATTAGTGCATGCACGCTTTCCACATCCCAGTTTATGTTCATTTGGTTTTCCTCTATCTTGCACGTTGTATATCCTACGTTCGGCCACTTTCCTGTACAGAAAGTTGCAAGCTGTAGAGGTACAGAAATGGAGATGAAAGTATGTTTGTCCAGCTAGATAATCCCGTCTTTTCTTTTTATTAGTAAGATGACTTATAATCATATGTTACAAGATGTATAGATTGTAGGTTGATATTTGTTGCAGAGTAAAGTTCTTACATGTTTCAACCATTTTTTCAAAGCTGTTGCAGAGCAGATTGTACGCTCGAACAGGTCCAAATGAGTGTAGGACGCAGACATTATTGGCACGGTCTGTCATGGGTATAATTTTAAAGTGATCGGATTGGCAGCAACGCGATGCAGCAGGAAAAAATATTTCCAGAACAATTCTCCAATCTAGACTCCAGTATCGAATGCGTGCTTTCGTACACATTGAATAGAGACGAGTGCAAACATTGGACGTGCCTCAGGGGCTATGACGGAAAGTAATCGAATTTGGTGATCGAATATCTGTATTGTCTGCAGAGATAAGGTACATGGGAAGAAACAAAATGCGCCGTAGAGCTTCTCGGTATACGCCCGAGGATTCGCTCCCCATTTCTAGTTCGAAAATTGTCCTAACCACGCCGTCAATCCGGACGTACTTCTGTTCAAAAAATCCTTCCACGACGTTCTGATAGATCTTTCTCGTCCGAGCAAGTCGCATCGACATATCGTCCATCTTCAGAGCAATGGAAGTATTGTGTTTTGGACAACTTCCCCTGTCTTCGAGGCCGCAAAATCTTCCATATGTTAGTTTTGTTTTCTCGTACAGAAAGAGCAGCGCCTCTGTATATGAGAATCTGTTGCGGAAACTTTTTCCGAGGATGCTGATGCAGACCAGACGTGGTAGCCAAACGATGCAAATTACCTGAGTCATCAGCTTATTCACGAGTGACGGCCCACTTCGCTTTATCAACCGACTGTGACTTCAATGGTCTTGGGTTTGTGGGGCTCAGGTGGTGGGATTTTGGGAACGGTGATCGTAAGAACTCCGTCGGTGCAAGCCGCTTGGATCTCATCCAGCTTCGCATTACTGGGGAGAGTGAACTTCCTTAAGAACTTTCCAGCAGGTCTTTCCATCCGGAGGAACTTGGCCTCATCCTTCGATTCATCGCGCTTTCGCTCTCCACCAATTGTCAACACATTGTCATTCTCCACTTGCACCTGCATTGGGGATCAGTAATTCATTGTCAATGACAACAAAGGTGCCTCGTCTGCCTAAAACTTTGTTTGCCGTGGAAATAAAAGTTGCCGCGGCACACTTCACATTTTCTCATCCAAGCATCTGCATTATAAGCTACAATACAATCTGTGTCTACACGCACTCTATACATATAATTGTAGTGATTCAGAAATTCGCTTCTCGTCGCAACGGCAGATGAACTGTTCTGAGAATTCACAAGAAAGCAGACACAGTTCGTACCTTGATGTCGCCGGACTTCAGCCCGGGCATGTCGGCTACGAAGACGTAAGCGTTCGGAGTCTCCTTCACGTCCACACAGGTGTTGAACATGGCCTTGGTGTCCCGGACGTACGTTCTCGTTGACGGATTGAGAGATTTCTCATACTCCTCGGGGCTGTTCAGCAATTGCGTGAGAGCGCTGGTCAGAGGATCGCGTCCGAAGAAAATGTCCATTGCCGAGGAAAGTTCGACCTGCCATCGACACAAAGACTTCAGATCAAATGCAGAAAGAACCAAAACAATGCAGCCTGACGACGAAATCGCAGCAGAGATCTAGTTCGGACGATGGAAATCGTTCTCTCTCTCTCTCTCTCTTTTTCTCTCTCTCTCTGCTGTAGACCAACTCTCAAAGTAGGGGAGCTCTACCGAAGGAGGTTGCGCGTTACGACTTCCACGAGAGGAATCGAGATACAATCGATTTCAGCTGATCCAGGAGAGGTAAGGAATCGTGCTTCTGCTTTGTGAATTGAGCGACCGAGTGTCGCCCTCTTATACTGACGCGGAAAGAAGAGCGCGTCGTGATTGCAGGCCGCCGAGGGGAATTCCGAACAGCAGCGGAGGACATTCTCGAGATTCCAGAACGAACTGGGCTCGGTTCTAGCACGCTGTAGAATGTGACAAGTCGGATCACATGCCAAGCGGAAGCGCGAAAAGTTCTAGAGACTACGAGCCCGAGCATAACGAATACCAAGTTCGCGAAACGCCCCGAGTTTCATGAACTTTCTGGATGACCCTCGTGCCGTCCACTCTCGTTGAATAGAATCTCCCTTCCTGTGTGTACAATGTACGTATAACTGGTCCTGCTTGGGAATTATACCCTGAAGCTGCGCTACATTATACCACGTGCTAAAATGTTATTGGTGCTCGAGCGGCTTCCCTACTCCTTCGAAATTCCCGGAACAAAATAGCGACGTATTTAGAGGGAAAGTCAACAGCCAGCCCGAAATCGTCAGGGATTCCCGTCAAATTCCCGCAAGGCTAGAATTTTCCAACAGTCCATCGGGACTTACCAGCCAGAAGTTTCGTCAAGGCGCCGTAAATTTATCCTTATGACCTTTATAAGAGTGGGCTACAACGCTATCAGCAACCAGAGGAAGAAAAGGTTGAATACATGATGATTTTATGGAACAATATTTATATTTCCCTGTTGTGTTTGCAGCATGGTGTTAAATGGCGTTCAAGATGCTAATAAATCAAATAGCATTTTCTCCACCGTCGCAAAGATGGGCTCACGAGTCCCACACAAATGCAATTAGTGGAAGTCATTTTAAAATATGTTCAGTTACTAAGAGCTGAGTGATATATAGCACCTTTGTAAGTTATTAGTGCATGCACGCTTTCACTATCTTGCTCGTTCTTTATCATAAGATCGTCTTTTCTCTTCAAAAAGTTAACAAGCATAGAAAGTAATGGAGATGAAAATATGTTTGTCAAGTTGCAAGTTTTCAGCTTTTCTCTTTTAGGAAGATGATTTTCAGAAGATTTTCTGAATCATAATTCAGAAGACGTATGGATTGTAGGTTGATATTTGTTGCAGAGTAAAGGTGTCATTCTTTTTAATCATTTGTTTAAAGTTGTTAAAAGAATTATTTTGAGATTGTAAACTCGTACACATCCAAATGAGGGTCGGACGCAGACATTACAGGCACAATCTTTCATGAGTATGATTGTTAAGTAATCGGATTGGCAGCAACGCAATGCAGCAGGAAAAACATCTTCCGAACAATTCTCCTATCTGGAAGTCAGTGCCGTACTTTCGTACACATTCGAGAGAGACGGATACAAACATTGTACATGACTGAAAGTGATCGAATTTGCCGTACTCCAAAATCGTATCTCTGTATTGTATGCTAGAAAAGGTACATGCGAACAAACATAATGCGCCATATAGCTTCTCGATAGGCGCCCGAGGATACGCTCCCCATTCCTAGTTCAAGAGTTTTCCTAACCACACCGTCGTTCCGAACGTACTTCTGTTCAAAATATCCTCCCGCGAGGCTCTGATAGATCTTTCTCGTCCGAGCAAATCGCATCGACATATTGTCCATCTTCAGAGCAATGGAAGTATTGTATTTTGGAGAATTTCCCCTGTCTTCGAGGCCGCAGAAACTTTCATATGTTTGTTTTGTTTTCTCGAACAGAAAGAGCAGCGCCTCTGCGTCTGGAAATCTGTTACGGAAATGTTTCCCGAGGATGCTGATGCAGACCAGACGTGGTAGCTAACGCTGCAGATTACCTGAGTCCTCAGTTTATTCACGAGTGACGGCCCACTTCGCTTCTTTAACCGACTGTGACTGCAATGGTCTTCGGTTTGTGGGGCTCAGGTGGTGGGATTTTGGGAACTGTAATCGTAAGAACTCCGTCGGTGCATGCCGCTTCGATGGCATCCAGTTTCGCATTACTGGGGAGAGTGAACTTCCTTAAGAACTTTCCAGCAGGTCTTTCCATCCGGAGAAACTTGGCCTCATCCTTCGATTCGTCGCGCTTTCGCTCCCCACCAATTGTCAACACATTGTCATTCTCCACTTGCACCTGCATTGGGGATCAGGAATTCATTGTCAGTGACAACAAAGGTACCGACTCTGCCTACAACTTTGCTTCCCGCGGCATACTTTTTCTCATCCAAGCATCTGCATGATGAGCTACAATACAATCTGTGTCTACACGCACACTATACATATAATTGTAGTGATTCAGAAATTCTCTTCTCGTCGCAACGGGAAATGAACTGTTCTGAGGATTCACAAGAGAGCAGACACAGTTCGTACCTTGATGTCGCCGGACTTCAGCCCGGGCATGTCGGCTATGAAGACGTAAGCGTTTGGATTCTCCTTCACGTCCACACAGGTGTTGAACATGGCCTTGGTGTCCCGGACGTACGTTCTGGTTGACGGATTGAGAGATTTCTCATACTCCTCGGGGCTGTTCAGCAATTGCGTGAGAGCGCTGGTCAGAGGATCGCGTCCGAAGAAAATGTCCATTGTCGACGAAATTTTGACCTGCCATCGACAGAGAAAGAGAACTTCAGCTCAAATGCAGAATGAATCAAAACAATGCAGCCCCGACGACGAAATCGCTGCAGAGATCTAGTTCGGACGATGGAAATCGGGATTCATTCTCTCTCTCACTCTCGCTAACCAACTCTCAGAGTTGAAGTAGGGGAGCTCTACCGAAGGAGGTTGCGCGCTACGACTTCCACGAGAGGGATCGAGATGCAATCGATTTCAGCTGATCGAGGAGAGTTAAGGATTCGTGCTTCTGCTGCTGCTTTGTGAATTGAGCGACCGAGTATCACCCTCTTATACTGGCGCGGAAAGAAGAGCGCTTCGCGATTGCAGGCTGCCGACGGGAATTCCGAACAGCAGCGGAGGACATTCTCGAGATTCCAGAACGAACTGGGCTCGGTTCTAGCACGCTGTAGAATGTGACAAGTCGGATCACATGCCAAGCGGAAGCGCGAAAAGTTCTAGAGACTACGAGCCCGAGCATAACGAATACCAAGTTCGCGAAACGCCCCGAGTTTCATGAACTTTCTTGATGACCCTCGTGCCGCCCACTCTCGTTGAATAGAATCTCCCTTCCTGTGTGTACATGTACGTATCACAGGTCCTGCGGGGAATTGAACCCTGTAGGTACGGTACATTATACCACGTGCTAAAATGTTATTGGTGTTCGAGAGGCTTCCCTACTCCTTTGATATTCCTGGAACAAAATAGCGACGTATATAGAAGGAAAGTCAACAGCCAGCCCGACATCCTCGGGGATTCCGTCAAAATCCCGCAAGGCTAGAATTTCCCAACAGTCGATCCGGACTTACCAGTAAGAAGTTTCTTCAAGGCACCGTAAACTTATTCTTATGACCTTTACAAGAGTGGGCTACAACTCATTCTGTAACCAGAGGAAGAAAATGCTGAATACATAATGAATACATAAATCTTGGTCCAATAATTATATCTTCCTGTTATGTGTGCAGCATCGTGTAAAATGGCGTATTAAGAAGCTAACTAAATCAAATGCCCATTTCGATTACCATTGCTCCACCGTCGTAAAGATGGGTTCACGTGTCTTACATAAGTGCAATCAGTGGAAGTTATTTTATGAGTTTTTCCAGTTACTGAGCTGAGTGATATAAGGCAGGTCTGCAAGTTTTAGTAAATGCGCGTTTTCCACATCCCAGTTATATGATGTTGTGCGTTTCCGCTAATTGCACTTTGTTTTTCATAGGCTCGTGGATTTTTCTGTACAAAAGTTACAAGGCTTAGAAGTAATGGAGATGAGAATATGTTAGAATATTCAGTTAGATGTTCTCATCAAATTTTTTTACTAAGATGATTTATGATTCATTACTTCTGATTCAGAAGATGTATAGATAGTATTTGTAACTTTTTGCAGAGTAGAGTTGTTACATATATCAACCATTTTTTCAGAGTTGTTTAAGAGAAACTACACGTTCTTACACGTCCAAATGAGGATCAGACGCAGATATTACAGGTACGGTCTTTCATTAGAATAATTGTAAAGTGATCGGATTCGCAGAAACGCGATGCAGCAGGACAAACATTTCCCGAACAATTTTCCGATCTAGACTCCAATATCGAATTCGTGCTTTTGTACACATCCAAGAGGGACGAATGCAAACATTGTACGTGCCTCAGGGGCTATGACTGAAAGTGATCGAATTCGCAGTAATCCAAAATCTTATATCTGTATTGTCTGCTGAGATAAGGTACATGCGAACAAACACAATGCGCCATATAAGTTCTCGGTATACGCCCCACGATTCGCTTCCCATTCCTAGTTCAAAAATTGTCCTAACCACGCCGTCGTTCCGGACGTACTTCTGTTCAAAAAATCCTCCCACGAGGCTCTGATAGATCTTTCTCGTGCGAGCAAGTCGCATCGACATATCGTCCATCTTCAGAGCAATGAAAGTATTGTATACTGGAGAACCTCCCCTGTCTTCGAGGCCGCAAAATCTTCCACATGTTTGCTTTGTTTTCTCCAACAGAAAGAGCAGCGCCTCTGTGTCTGGGAATCTGTTACGGGATTTGTTTCCCGAGGATGCTGATGAAGACCAGACGTGGTAGCCAAACGATGCAGATTACCTGAGTCATCAGCTTATTCACGAGTGACGGCCCACTTCCCTTCTTCAACCGACTGTGACTTCAATGGTCTTGGGTTTGTGAGGCTCAGGTGGTGGGATTTTGGGAACGGTGATCGTGAGAACTCCGTCGGTGCAAGCCGCTTGGATCTCATCCAGCTTCGCATTACTGGGGAGAGTGAACTTCCTCAAGAACTTTCCCGCAGGTCGCTCCATACGCAGAAACTTGGCCTCATCCTTCGATTCGTCGCGCTTTCGCTCTCCGCCGATTGTCAGGACGTTATCATTCTCCACTTGCACCTGCATAGACGAATCGACGAGTCAAACTCAGAAACGACAATGCTGCTCTCTAGACAGGCAGTGCAGTGAAATTCTCTCTCTGTCCACATTCAACATCCCCGTTCGTGCGCGGACATCTCTCGCCAATAAACGGCATAAAACGCATACCAAGCAACACTTTCGGTCTCTAACTAAACCCTTCGGCGACCTCCACCGAGGGACCGTGAGAGCGTTCATACCTTGATATCCCCTGACTTGAGTCCTGGCATGTCTGCGACGAAGACGTAAGCGTTCGGCAACTCCTTCACGTCCACGCAAGTATTGAACATGGCCTTCGCCTCCCGGACGTAGGTTCTAGTTGACGGGTTGTGCGACCTCTCATACTCCTCGGGGCTGTTCAAAATGTGGGTAAGAGCACTGGTCAGAGGATCGCGCCCGAAGATGATATCCATAGTCAATGAACGGATCGCTTATCCTGCGAGATACAGAGAGTGCCAAGCTCCCGGCAGAAATTATAATCCGTGCACAATTTGTGTCAATTCGTCGGCGAACTGCTGACAAAGTTGCGCGAATCAAGTGAGAACTATAAGTGAGGTACTTTGCCGCAGCGATGTAGGCGATCTCAACAACGCTGACGATGGAGATGTAAATGAGCTCTAAGCTAGTTGAAAATCTCTGCTTTCGACTGAAAAGTGCGTTGGAGCGCTGGTGTTCATTTCTCTTATATATACGCTTGGAAGCAATGTCGGAGTGGAGAGGTCAAATCGGAACAGGAGTGGCAGAAATTTCGAGATTCCAGAACAAACTAGGCTGAAAGTTCGCGAAGGCACGCAACATTTCGTGCGAGTCTGATCAGAGGCCGAGCAGACGGAATGTGTAGAAAGGTTCTGGAGAAACCCCGAGCTTCGTGAAGTTTCCGGATCGTCATCTTTTCCCGGATACGGCCCGATGACACTTGTCCAGCCCCGTCCTAACTTGTACGGTCTTTAATTTCAGTTTCTTTCCATTATAAGGCATTAGGTAATTAGATTCACTGATTAACTATTTTGGCTCATTACAGCTCAAATCTGAAGATATATCGAGTTTTATAAGGATAAGTATTTTGACCGGAATTGGAACGAACCATTTGGGGGAAAAAAAAATTACAGTGCGAAATGCTTATCTTTAAAACTAAAAATAATTGTTGAATCCTCTTTTCGACATTGACGAGGTTCTAAATGTTCTTCTCGGACCTAGGATTCTGGAACTAAAACATGAAAGGGGAAATTTAGATAGCAGAAAAAGGTCTGACCCAATCCTGTTGCTACTTAGAAGAAAGATGACTTAACCGGAACAAAGGGTTATCACATTGTAATAGATTCATTATCATATCCGATTTATCTAAGTAGCTCATAAATCCTATCCGACAAAGTAAGTATGTTGAATCACTTACGTATATGTAAAAATATGTCCTCTAATGTTGAATCTTTGCACACTATTAACAAGTACCATATAGACCTTGTAATTGGATTGGTGAATTTAATGTGACACAGAACACCAGCCATTCCAACTGGGAAGTTGTTTTTCAAGTGCATGAGTTGATTTTATCCATTTTTGTATACACATCAAGCAGATTTACAGCCATAAGAAGTTTGGGTCTCGAAGTAGATTTCATCACCCACAAATGATTCCAAACATCCAGAAAATAGGGTGGATCACTGTACCGCTAAAAGTATTAACCACTAAAACTGACTGTAGCAAGTTTTCCACTTTGCACGAGATATGTCATTCATTAAATTTCGAGATGTGACTGCGCCAACCTCTGACCTGTTCGATACTCTGTCGCCAACTCGCAACAACAGCGTGGTAGTTCTTTTCTCTTTTACTTACCATAGGCAGCAGCCTGCAGTACCACCAAGTAGTTCACTTCGGATATATCAGGCACAGTATGGCATATTTCCCGTTTTGTTTCATCCAGGAATTCATAGATGGGCCTTCCCATTCTAATTGCTAATTTACTCGGTGCCACTCTTCCCAAATGGTTTAGATGCAAGTGAGTTTAAAGCAATGAATGTACAAAGAATACCGTGCTTAGCTTCTCATCTATGCATCCAATTGGAGTGGAATCTCTTACTCTATGTATGGCTAATTTATATTATTTCCACCTCAATTAGTACTTCTCTAGCTTGTATTAGGAGATTGGAATTAGTGAGCCATCGTCAAGATCTGAGGTTGTCTCGCTTGATCCAAATGAACTTGACAGTAATTAGTAAAACTACACATACTTTTATATTCCAAAACAGTGAAGAATTAACCTCTCGTCTAGAACTAAAAATGAAGATTGAGCTTAGCAAAACTAAAAAAATGTAAATTATCCAAAAATTCCTTTGTTTTTTTTTAACTTTTTCAACCTCAAAGTTTAGTAATGTGATCTATCAAAACGTCATCAATACATGGGGTTTGTAGATTTGGCCAGAAATGAATAAACTAAACTCGCATGTACTCATTGATGACGTTTCCGGAAAACAAACATGGGTTTGGTTGAAATTTCCTACGTCATTCTATAATAGTAATCCCTTCAGTTCAAAAATTCAGTCAACATAGCATTTTAATTTTATCAATGTGTTGATTGAGTTCAAAGTAGTGTCACATAGGGAAATGTGAGTCATACTTTTCACTCACTAACGAAGAAATTCGTAGAAAATGAAAGTGGAATTTCTTAGGTCGATAGAGCATTATTGTGATACTTTTGATGGCTTGCAATCTTGATAGAATATAATTCGAAGTGATTTTTAATTATTAGGAAGTAAATTTTCATCTTAATTTTCACGTTTTAGCTAAATTATCCGGAAAAAACCATATGTTTTGATATAAATAGTTTCAAACTATCTGCTAGATGAAGCATAAAAAATCAACTAACACTTTTTTTTGGTGGGATAGGGAAGATTTTGGTCGTCTTAAAAGTCTCACGACCTCAAGCACAGATGATTAATGATAGACTAAGTCGCTAATTCATTACAATCACAACTTTTGTTCATATTAGGTGAGAATTCTAACCTTAGCTTAGAGTCGTGCTATATCCCATGTTCGGACAAGCTTCACTTACAATTATTACATTTAGAATTCACTACACTTTTATCCTCAGGAATAATTCCAATGTAAATTAACTATATATATTTGAAAATATGCTTCAGAATCTGGAGAAATGATATATGTTGAATGTGAGCCACCCGAAATTTGCAAGATCTTACATCTACAACAATAATTCTATATTATCGACATTTTATCAAACGTTTCGGTTACATCTTTTTTAAAACTTTGATTTTGCAAGCCAGTCTTTTTTTTAATTGAATCTGCTGTTTCTAATTCACCTAAGATGAAATTAAATACAAAAATATGTGATTCTTATATATATATATATATATATATATATAAATGATTTTATGACGACCATAATATTCTTTTTATTCTAATAATTCAAACAAAGAAAAATTTCAAACAAAAATAAAAATATAATTTTATGTATCTTTACATTTGCAAATCTTTCTGAAATTCGATCAACAACTATGTATTTATATGAGAAAAATGTTAATAAAACTGCATAATTGAATAACCTGGTTCTTAGTTTTGGAAAATTATTTTGCACAAACAAGCACAACAATGATGATGCACTTAACTAAAATCTGAGCTACTTCTAAAAATGTTGGGATTGTAAAAAAGTTAGCTATGCATGCTGACGGTGATAATCTAGGTTATGACAAATTTCGTTTTCATCAATCTCCTGTTAAAGTTTTTGAAAATTAAATGCAAATTTATAAAAGTTATGCCGCACACATCACTGCAATCAACAAGTACAACCATAAGTAAAATTGCATCTCATAAACTTAGTTGTGATCCTATGATAAAATTATGCTCAGCAAGATTGAACTTCCTCGACTTGACAGAAAGGAGCTCAAACCAGTACTGTACAGCAGTATTCTTTCCCACTGAGATTTTTTACGGGAAATCAACAATCTCGGTGACATGCATATAGCGTTAAGACGAACGTTGAGCTTTCCGTCGGAAAGCATGGTATCAGATGGTAAATTCTTGTGAACACACAGGAAACGTTCAAAATGTACCAACATAAACTCAAGACTTTTGTTTCAAGTACGAAATGTCATAGTTAAAGTCACCCGAGGAAGGAAAGTAAATGCGAAACTGGCGCGACTTGGATTGAGGTTTTTACTTTGTTCTTGCTCTGGGATGAACACCGTGCGCATATGCTAAATTCAAATTTGCAAACTTCAAAAGACAGAGATACGAGATTGTATATGCAAAGATTTAATTGCAGATCAAAATTAAAGCAGAGTGCTTTGAAATCGAGTTCTAAATTGAAGTTCCCGAACAATTCGATTCTCAAGCGATTTAAAACGCGCATCTGAATGTAAGCAGCCTTAATTGGTTTCGAAACTAACGTTATCCACCAGTTAGATTGAAAAAGCGATTCAAAATGCGTTCTCCACCAGTTATATTCAAAAAACGATTCGAAATGCGTTCTCCACCAGTTATATTCAAAAGCGATTCAAAATGCGTTCTCCGCCGGTTCGATTCAAAAAGCGATTCAAAATGCGTTCTCCACCAGTTCGATTTCAAAAGCGATTCAAAATGCGTTCTCCGCCAGTTCGATTCAAAAAGCGATTCAAAATGCGTTCTCCACCAGTTCGATTTCAAAAGCGATTCAAAATGCGTTCTCCGCCAGTTCGATTCAAAAAGCGATCTCCACCAGTTCGATTCAAAAAGCGATTCAAAATGCGTTCTCCGCCAGTTCGATTCAAAAGCGATTCAAAATGCGTTCTCCGCCAGTTCGATTCAAAAGCGATTCAAAATGCGTTCTCCACCAGTTCGATTCAAAAAGAGTTTCAAAATGCGTTCTCCACCAGTTCGATTCAAAAAGCGATTCAAAATGCATCCGGATGCTTTTTGAATCCCTTTTTGATACCTTGGATGATGGAGATTTAAGCGCGGGAAGCGCTGCAATCTTCATCATTGATATTGGAAGCAGGCTGAGCGATCCAGGACGCTCCTTCTGTGTACAAAGTTCTGTCCTGTGAGATATTCGGACACCATCTCGAATTCCTGTCACGATGTCGGAAGGTTCAAACTCTGAATTGGTGGAGGGTGGAGAATCTGAATTCCATAGGACTGGTCTGTCGGAAAGCAGGCGTGGATCTGCTTCAAGGTGTAAACAACTTCAGTTTGGTTTCTTTTCATGAATCAGTACGATAAAATTCGGTTGATTATGTGACGAGTGAATGAGTGTTTTCAGAAAACACTAGTTTTTTTGGTATCCGATAGATCGTTTCAGTTCTTTGAATGTTCTTTTGCTAATGATGCTCTGTATTTCGATCTTTATATTTCGTGTCTCTAGCTTGAGTATAGTGCTCCCAGCAAAATCAGAGTTATGTAGGTATTACGGTATACCTGGTGGATGCGTTCGTGGAGATGCATGCTTCTTTGCTCATGGTGATGAAGAAATTCGGAAAAGATCAAGAAACTTATCACCAAATATGCTTTACAGTCCCTCACCTCTGATGCGGCTCATGAAATTGAATGTAAGAATCCTTCTTAATTTGAACACCATCTTTTGAGAAGCCAAGTGTGATCAGTATTTTTCTACTAAGATTGTGAACTTACTAGTACAATTTGACTTTTCTTACATCTTACAGCAAATGTCGCCAGAGGATTTAAAGAAGAAAGTCTTTGTAGGTGGTCTCCCACCATCTGTTGACTCAGGTGGGTTATATAACAGCTCTATCATGTACTATAAGGTTAATGCATAAGCAAAGTCTTTTCATAGTAAACTGTTGGACAGTAATTCTTTCGAGAACAGAATATAAATGCCAATGATGTTCATGAAGTTTACAAGTTTGTTACAAGTTACAAGAGTGCTCCTCAGATGTTATAAATAAGATATTCATTTTGAGGTGAGTGGTACACCTTCCTACTTGTACTTTTAGAAGTTCTTAGAAAGTGATGATCTTGGAAATTTATCTGGATTAGACTTCGCTGGAGATTATATTACTGTCGATCTTCATTGAGGGTCATGGTGGCATTGTCCAATTTTGATTCAGAAAGAAAAATATAAAATTAAGCTTCACTTTGTACTATGCAATATACAGAAATTACTACTTTCATGATGGCCTTGAATCGAGTGTCAATGAAATATCTGGATTATAACATGGTTAATTAGTTCCTTTTCATGTGCAGATGACTTGAGAGTGTTTTTCGAAGAAAATTTTGGTCCTGTCAGTGATGCAGTTGTAATTGGCAGTCATTCTGGTGACCAAGTTCAGTCTCGTGGTTTCGGATTTGTAAAATTCAAGCATGAGGCATCGGTTTTACTTGCCATACAAACTCATTACATCCACCTGTTTGGAAAGAAGGTAAATAAAGACATGTAATACAGGAATATTCTTTTTTTGGGTGCTTCTGCTTGGTCCGATTCTGTCATGTCATTAAGCAATTAAGTAGGAGTAAGTTAAGGATCACATTCCTGATCTTCTGTCCCCTGATCACTTTGAAAACCTTCTTGAAATCGATCTGTTACATCTATAATCAGTTTTGCGAATTAAAAAGAGTAAGTCAAGCATCAAATCATGATCCTCTGTTAGGCTACTATGATCTTCAACATGCACAAAATCAAATTAGTGGAATTACGAATACCAGTTGACACCTAGTGAAATTACATATTTTTTGACTTGTCATGAACTATACTCAGGATAGAACACTTTGACAGCCTTCTTGACAATCTTTAGATGCTTTTTATCAACACAAAATATTCTTCTTGGATTCTTTCTTTGACTTTGTGGAGGTTCACAAATGTTCTTGCCGGACCTAAGACTCTTAATCTAAAACAGGAAAGGGTAAAAGTAGATACGAAATAAAAGATAAGACTCTCAAGCTTTTGCTACTTGGAAGAAGGATGAAACTAAAACCGGAACAAAGGGTTATTAAATTACATAGATTTCATTACATATCCAAAATTTTCAATATCATATATAAGTTTGAGGGGATCGAAAAATAAATATGTTAGACTTTATTTTATTATATATAATCACAATACTTATAACTCATGTAATATTCTATAATTTTAAGTCTTTGGACACTCTCTTAACAACTATCACATAGACCGTGCGAATGGATTGGTGCATTTTTTCCAAGGACAAAACACCATCCATACCAACTTGATATTTCTTTTTGAAGTGCATGAGTCGATTCTTTCCACATGAAATATACTGAGAGCTATAAAAAAGTTGGGTTTTTGAAGTAGATTGCACCACCGACATATTAATTAAAGGATCTAAACAAATGGTGGATTGCTGTACTCATACAAGCAATAAACGCTGAAAATTCTAAAAACTCTCTAACTAGATATTTGCCCAAGAGCAGTGATCTCAGTGTTTCCACTTTGCATGAAACATTGATACATGTTGTTCACGCCATTTCGCGCAAAGTTGACTGCGTCAATTGAAAGAATTTATAGTTAGGGAAATTTCGCTCCAATTTTAGAATCTAGAATTAATTTGGAGTTGGTCTAACATCAATCTCCTAGATAGGTTAGTACAGTGTGTGATAATTCTGGTAGTGGTAGAAACTGATAATCCCCAATTCGAACATTTGACACATATGATTATGAAATTGTTACTATAAAGGAATTCAGAATGAAAAAAGAAAAGAAAGGGAAGAATAATTAAATACACCTGTTAAATGATCGCGTGATTCTACTTCGAATAAAGTAAGAAAAAAAGTACAATTTTGCCTCAATTTATGTTCGGGAAGGATTCTCGCGAAGAATTAATGTGAAGCGTTGAGAGTTGAATGCGATTGTGCATTAGTCAGAAGAAAAAAAAATGTTTTTCTTAAAGCTTAATAGTTGGGAGAATTTTTTATTTTTTATTTTTAGAACGTTTACTACATAAGGAATTTACAATTTACTACGCAAGGTTGACTGCGCCAACCTAATGACCAGTGCCGTACCCTTTCTCCAACTCGCAACAACAGCCTTCGAGTTTTTTTCTCTTTCATTTATCATAATCGGCCTGCAGTAATACCAAGTAGTTCAGTTAGAATATCAGAAGATACCTGACAATTCTCAGCATACACCCTTCTTGGCATCTATATGTTATATGTCAACAAGCTAGTATTATTATCAAGACTAACAGACTATATTACCCTCATAAGTGAGTATCTGTTGTGAGTCGACCGTGGTTGATGGTTATTAAGACTGGAAATCTAAGAACGCACATGTTACACCTTTAAATCATATCAAAATAGGCCCGCTTCGACAATCTTGTAACATGAAAAGGGACTGCAGTGAACTAAAGAGTTGTTATACATTTGAACATCTGAATGTTTCCATTAGGTGCAACTGGTGTTGGACGGTGGACTAGCATTTAGTAATACTCTGAGCACAAACTGTCATCTAACTTTTATTATTTGCTCCATTCAGGTGGAGATCAAGGGTGCCGTTCCACGCACAGGAGTATCCCATCTTGAGACTTCTGAAAGAAGTTTCCCGATGACAAGATCATTGTCACCTGAGGCTTCTTTTGGGGGTACTTCGAGCTCAAGTTTGCTGACACCAAAGCTGCCGTTTACAAATCTCAATTGCAATGCAGAAAGTGAAGAGCCAGCTCAGTGGACGAAGAGAGGAAACCAAGGTGCCGATGATCAGTCATCGAAGAAAAAAAAAGCCGTATCAGAAGGTGGCTCATCTACGGCACCCACATGCAATGCCGGCGCACAATGGGTGTTACGGTTCAAGCAATGGCTTCCGAGTTTCTTGATTGAGGTCTACAACCGCTTAAAGGAAGGAGAGTGGTACCCATTATCTTCGTTAAAGGGAGATTTCAGAGCCACTTGTGGTTTAGAGTTAGACCACACGAGCATTGGCTATCATAAACTCCATGATTTTATCAAATCCCATCCAGAATTGTGCAAAATCAAGATTGTACCTGTAGGATTAGGCCCGGCCACTCACATGGTGCTTCTTCCTGCCTCAATGTGGACGAGATCGACTGGGCGCCATCAGATGGAAGGCAGAACATTGATGGAAGATGGGCGGTCATATGCAGCTGCAATTTCCCGCGGGAAAGCAAGAATCGTGACAGAGAATGTTCAATCTCCCGTGGTTTCTTCCATGACGACAACTATGGCTCCTCTCCGAAGAGCCATGAATGCATATGACAGATATGCAGTCTCTTCTCAAGATTTGAATTTTGCAGACTCTTTTCAGCAACTTGCTGAGAACAAAAGGATTGGGAACTCAGAGAATAATGCTTTGAAAGCATCAAGTTCCTTGGGTCAAATTGGAACTATTGGACAAACATCAATGTTCCCAAGCCAGAATGGAATGCGAGGGGGATTAGAGGACCTGGGATCTGTAGGATCCTCTAGGAGCAGCAACGGAACGCCAAGTGGTCATACTGAGAATTTTTACTCCCTCTTCTCAGAAAACAACAATGCATGTATACACAATGGAAGCGCGTCCAGGGGCACCTTTACACAAAGTTCTGATCCTCATGTCATAGGTAACTTCATGGAGGAGCCAAGAACACCAGTGCTTCAAGGGAACTTGAAATCGTTTTCAACCTACGAAAATCAGCCGATACATCAACCATACAATATATGGGATCATAAGTTTCCTGATATCATGATGATGAGTGGTGACAACGAGACAGAAGTTTGGAGATCACCAAATTGAAGGTAAATAGTGAGATTTTAGTTTGGTAGATAATGCCTTTGAATCTGTTATTTTAAACATGTTTTAGATTTGGTCTATATTTCAGGTTAGCAATCAGCTAAAGTGACATTTTGGTTTCATGTTTGATGTATGAATGTACAAGAAACATAAAATCTCCTCATGGAAGAGATAGCATTGAAGGAACACAGCAAGTGACAACGGTGATCCTTCCTAACTATCCCAAAATGACGATGGAAATGAATGTCCGTTTCAAGCGACGTGTGTGTATGGATGTGCTGGACACCCTCGAGGGATTGCTTTGCCTTGCAAAGCTGCTACATTATGCTCTGGATGTCAAGACACTTTGTGTAACAGCAACACATTTTTCAGTTTATGTCATTTGTGCTACTGTGTGGTAGTGGAGGTATGTGGTGATATTAGTCTAGAATGGAACTGAGATGCTGGGGGAAAATGTGTACTTGGTTTATAGTTACAGAGGAAAGAGTGTAAACATTCAACACTACCATGACAGAACTAATCCCTCATACAATCTATCTCTGTAGATCATTATTCAGATAAAGTGTATTCATGAATAATATTTTCAGTAATTTCTTCTTAAAATCCATTTTTACTTATTTTTCTTGATATTAAATGACGTTAAAAATAATTTGATAGAATTGCAGACTTTTTTTTCTGAAATGCTCAAGTTATATTTGTATATTTATATTGAGTCATTGTCAATGTGAAATTTGCATTCAAAATGAAGTAACAATTTCAAAGTTTGTACAATCTACAGGCAAATTCATCATTTTATTTTTAATGATCACTTCTTCTGACAGAATTTTTGAAGCGTATGCAATTTGTATTTTCATCTTATATGTGCTCCATTTCTATCCATTTCTATCCATTTCTGTTTTTTGGTGCAATCACATTATATATATATATATTAGTAAAGTTGTAAGGAAATTCAGATAATAATTCTATAATTTTGTATAATAAGTTTTTACATCAACTATTGCATCAATCTTAAAGTTCACATTGATGAATTTTTTACGTTGAAGATATAACTGATAATTCCAAAAGTAAAATAAATTATAACTATGATTTTGAGAAAAGTATTTTTGTATCAACTCTAGCATAGTACTGTTGCGAGAAATTTCTTTTTTCCTTAAGGAGTTCTGAATTTTTATTCCAATGTCTCGAAAAATGAACTTTGGTCCTTTTACTTAATGAATTTATTTACATAAATATATTCTTTAAATTTTTAAAATTTTTTTGCCACAACTCGGTTGTATTTCAAAATATCAATGAATTATTTGTATCATTTAAAATAAAATTTAATCATTTTAAAGCTAAATTGTTGTATTTAATTGTAATTTGTGACCATAAAAAGATATTAAAATATTTTCACCAAGAAAATAAAATTTATTTTGACTTCAATAAGAAGCCTTATCTTAAGATATTACTTTCGTTTATAATTAAAGTGCATAAATTAAATTTCAAAAAATTCAAAAAATATTTTTATTACGTTGGAAGTAAAGAATACTAAAACTGATGTAGTAAAAAAACATGTAAAAGTCTTTCTAGAAAAACTCTACATTTTATAACTTAAATTTTTTCAAATTTTTAATTACAAAAATTTCTTATAAAATCAATGCTAAAAGTATCTCAAAATTTAAGTATGAGTGAATTTATTCTAAGACAAGTATCTATATTGGTGTAATAAACCTTGGACTTGGAAATATGAATAGAGTCTACTGCTAAACTTGATGTGAGAGTTAAGCTCATGATGTGGATATGCAATTACGAGGATCATGATCGAGGATCAATATAGTATTCATATATTAAAATCAACCTTTAATCTAACTAGAGTCAATATGATAAGGCAGAGATCCAACAAAACCAAACTAGATATTCGTGTGTATGTTACAAATAAAATCAAGAAATTATCAAGAAATAAATAAAGAAATCAAGAAATAAAATCAAGACATTTATTTAAGGAATGTACATCATGAAAGTCACCTAGATTTGGAATTTTAAAAAAATAAATCTTCAATATATGTGAATGGTGTGTTTCCATGTGTTGTTCAATGCTCACTCTAGGCCTATATCTTTGACTAAACAAATTCTTTATGTGGATGTGATCACACATCTGATGCAGCATGATCACAAATCAACTTAACAGACCAAGTATGCAAGGATGAGAGCCAAGGAATGCTTAGATTTATATGAAGTTTCAACCTAATCTTGAAATATTTATCCCCAAGACTTGCAATCAATGAAATCTTGCAATTGCAAATACTCAAACATTTCTTATGACTCTTAGCACAAAAGTCATTGTAGCAGCAACAAAAATTTTACATTTTGAAAACATATAAAATGTGTCATAAAAATTTGTAGAATAATATGTACCTTATAAAATATCTTAGACTACACATGTTCATGATTTGATTGTTGAAAACACATGTTGTGTTTTTATTAACATAATGTCACATCCGTTTTTTACTTTATTCATTAGAATATGCTAGTAGTTAAGTTTGTGTATAGTAGTTGAAACCTATTGCTTGAAGGTTACAAAGACAGAGTACAAAAACTTGATAGGATCTTAGTAAAATGAACCATCTAGGATAAGATAAATTTCAACTTTAGTGAACTAAATAATATATCGCTATAGATTAAATGCGATTAAATAGTTAAATCTAATACATATTAAAGTTGATTTGTGTGTATTTCGGTGTTTGAATAAGTGATCATTCAATAAATCACTGAAATTATAAATCAGATTTTTTATTATGCACGATATCATATATTTCCCTATTTTCGTTTCAAAAGTTAATAAGAATCAGCATCCAATTCTTGAGATCTTGTTCCAAATTTCGTTGTTTTACGTTGTATCATCAAAATTTATTGAATATTATGCCACAAAATTACGCTTTGATACAATTAAAATCTATAATGATTAATGTTACCATAGTATGGTATAGTTTTATCTTCAAAGTGATATACACATTTTGCATGGATTCATAAAAAATAAAATAAAGGAGAATACAAATATAATGTACAAATAGTTTTTTGAGATATATAAAGGTTTAGCTATGTAATTTTGATGTGGATTTTTTTAACTTCAAAATGAGCATTTTATTGCATAATATAGATAATAATAATAATTAAGTGTTAATGACATTGAATTTGTTGTGAGATGTGATAGTTAAAAAAAATTGTAAAAATGTCATCAAAATAATATGATAAAATTGAATTTTTTCACAATTATTCGATTTTTTTATTCAGAAGTTGCAATTAAAATTCCGTTTTGAAAAGAATGAAGAAGTTTGACAGAAACTTGTAGATAATATAAAATAATATTTACATGTTAAAATTTCACTTTGTTTATTTGTGATTCAAAGACAATTATTTATTATTTGTAAAATTGATCAAGTTTATTGTAATCAACACATTCAATAATTATAATTTATTGAAGAAGATAAATTCATTCAATTTGACTTCTACATCGATAGGTTTTGAAAAACTGATTTAGCCATTAGATTTATTATATGAATCACTAAAATACAAAAACAATAAAACAAGATGACACACATCAAAACATTGACACTAAAATATATCATCTATTTTTGCGGACCAGAAGAATCTGTAAAAGTTTTATTGGTTAAAATACTAAAGTATTGATCAAGAGCTTTTGTTAGACTTCCTTATAATAATTTAAATTAAATCTAACCTTTCAAACTATTTTAAGTTGAAATAGACATTAATGAACTACCTACAATCAATCTAGATCTAACAAAGAAAGTTTATTATGTCTACAGAATGAATCTTTCATGTTGTAAAGATAATAAATTCCATGTTCTATGTGATTATTCCACAAGAAATTCTAGAAAAAATCCAATATAGAGCCATTTTTAACCTATAGCTACCTTGAATTGAGTTGTAATTAAAACATCATAAGAGATATATATATATATATATATAGAAAAATGAAAAATTTCTAATAAACTCTACTTATGGTTCTCATGCAAAATATTTAAGATAGTATAATTTTTGTTGAATTTTTTAAATGTAATGATATAACTTTAAATAACACATCAGCTAGATTGTAAAATCTGTCAATTTTGATTAGCTTAATTTTTTTATTGGAAATTGCATTTTTGGTAAAATAATATTGGATGTTGATATGTTTCAATGTATTGTTAATCACCCAATTTGCAGCAAGATATAACACATTCTAATTATCACAATGAAAATTGATAATCTCTTATTTTGATTCTATTTTAGTGATAAAACTATCAAAGCAAATAGCGTTCTTATTGCTTTTGCTGCCACTATATATACAACTCATGTTGTGTATTGAGCTACCCACTTGTGCAATACTTTGCACAAGTGGGTCTTCAAATTCTTCAACTAATGCATCCACCATCAAGTATAGATACATTATAAGTTGTAGATTTTTCATATGTAGATGTTGTCTATAGTCAACTAGAAAGCCTAGCAAGAATTGGACATGGTTTAACAAATCATCAAACAAGTACTCTAATATTTAAACTGTTTAAATATCTTAAAATCAATTTCGCAGCTTCTCAATACACCTTTTTTGAATTTAATATATTCGTGTTCATCTTGGTCATAACATAAACTATATTGAATCTTGCGCATAACATTAAATATATATAATATTTTTTTCAGCTTTGTCATAGAAAATTGATGATATTTTTTCTTTCACAATCACATCAATTAAACATTGAGCTTCAAAAAGGTTGAAGTATGATGTCAAAGTAGTCCATATTATTTTAAATTTTATCATGTTTAACATGTCAAGCATACGTTGAATATAATTATCTTGATTTCATCATACTTATTTTTCTAAATCTCTATAAAAATTTACTTCTAATATATTTTTTAGATGTACTCAAATTTTTCATCTTACATACAAACTTGTATCTGTTGATGTCAGATTGATTTTTTGTCAAAACAAGCATTTCATCTATGTAAAATACTAAAATAATAAGATT